TTTTTTTTCTGTATTTCTTATCAAATAAATGCAGCCTTGATGAGCAGAAGAGACTTCTTTAAAAAACAATACTGATCCCAAACTTTTGACTAGTAGCGTATATTTTTCTAAAAGAAAATTAAGCCTGTTTTTAAGATTCTTTGCATCATGTGATTTTTGTCTTACCTTAAAAGTGCATTTGCCCCCAAAAAAACAATGAAATATTATTAAATTATGAAGTAAAGTCCTGTATGGTAGTATTTGTTGTACTGCCTTTTTCATGCCATTACTAGTACTTACAGTAACATTTTGTACTGTAATGCATAAAAATACTACTGTAATGCAGTTCACCAATAAAAAATAATAAAAGATTAAAAACAAATGCCTGAAATTACGAAAAGGCAACTTGAAAATGTCACAATGCAAAAACAATCTTAAAATCTGGTCTTCAAAACAAGCAGAATCTAATTTTCATTTGTATTTTTATTTTGGTTTGTGTGACACTTATGTGATCCTTGATCATGTTTAATGGATTTAATATATCAGCACCGTCACTCATAGAATTATTTCTGTATGTTCATTCTTACATGCCACAGACGTCGACTACAGACAGACTCTCAATAAAGTGATTGTAGAGGGGACGACCGGTTTCTCTTTGTGTTTGTTTGTTTATTGTCTTTTGTTTTCAGATGGAAATTTAAAATGTGAGGAGCAGATAAGACTTCATATCAAATCTGTGCGGTTTTAGTTTTACAAACTAGTTTGAAATCACAGAATTCCTCAAAATAAAGACTGACACTTCGAAACGGTCAGTAACTTCATTTATGGGCTCTGTTCAGTCATATCTATATATACTGTATATATATATAAAATTTGATCATGATTCATTATTTGGTCATTAATAATTGAAAATGATGCTAGGGTGTTTGCTTTGCAGTTACTAAATAGTTTTTCTGGTGTTGAAGACACGTTTCATCATCAAACCAGTTCATGGTAAGAGTTTGCCAAATGTGGTGATTGTGCCATGTTGCACAAATTTGCGCTTATATTATGTTGTCATGTGAGGGATGTGACATCTTGTGTCAGCCAGCAGGAGGCAGTAGAGATATTTGACGTTTAACTAGCAGCCAAATGTCTAAATTAAATGAGGAACATTCAACTAAACAGGTGTTTGTGATGCTGCACCAAATATCCCCAAATAATAACATGCTTATTTATTTTGATGTTGCTTTAGCTCATATTTTGAACAATGTTTGCATGTTTTGGGGCTGAATTTGATTCAGACACCTTGAATGTGAGTCGAGCGTCAGTAATGATTGAGTGTTTTGACTCTTGTATTTCCAAAAATTGTCTATGGAATTTTCTAGTTGGTTCATTGTCAAACATGCATGTGGATTTTTTGGGTTATTTGTCCATATTCATGTTTTCATGAGAACAGATGTGGAGAAATGTAGGAAGCGTTATTATGGATTATGGACTCTATGTATTTTAGTTAAAAACGTCTTAATGCTGGATTAGTTTCAGTTTTTGTCTTCTCCAGATGTTAACTGATGGACTGGAGTGCTGTGGATTATTGTGATGTTTTTATCAGCTGTTTGGACTCTCATTCTGACGGCACCCATTCACTGCAGAGCATCCATTGCTGAGACACTGATGCAATGCTACATTTCTACACATCTGTTCTCATGAAAACAAATAACCACAAAAATCTAATTTTCTTTTTTGGGTGAACCGTTCCTTTAAACACTAGTAGATCTAGTGGTGTCATGTAAACTAAGGTTAGTTTTTTCAGATTTAAGAATGTTTAGATGTTTGTACTGGAAAACAAGACAAAAATACTGAGCAGTGCATGACTCATAAAGTCATAATAACATGCTCTTTACAGTCAGTTGTGAGTTTTCTCAGTATTACTAGTATCTGTGGGTGAAAGCGTGAAGGTTTTGACCCGGTCTGTGATTGTACTAGTGACCCGTGTTGTGATGTGGCGCGTTTGGTTTTCACACTGATTCTGGGTATTTGCCCCGCAGTCGTCATGTGAGAATAAAAAGACGGGGTGACTTTAAACCCTCGCTCACTGCCGCAGTCAGATGGCAAACTCTGCAGTCATTAATATGCAAAAATGCAAATGAGTGGGTAATTAAGAACAGGAGTTCCACAGAGGCTCTTTGATTGCTAATGAATTCTAATCTGCAAGAACGGGGGGATGGGCTGATGAAAACAGAATGAGGAGAGACACATGCACACGCTATTCAAACCTCGCTGATAAATTCTGTTTTGTCCTGTTGAGTAAGAAATATACAGACCAAACAAAATCATTTAAACTAAACTTGCCTTTCTGAAGAATATACTGCATGCAAGACAGCAAAAAATTGCGTGACATTTAGAAACAACAGTTCAGTTTGCAAATATATATAACAAAGACGACCAATCACGATTCAGTATGCAAATGTCACTGCTGTAAGATTTCTTTCACTGCAACATTGGTTTCAAACTTTAATCTAAAATCAAAACAAAGTCTGAATGGAGTTCATATCTGATTTTATATCTCACAAATTTGGCTTTGTTTCTCGCAAGTCTGAGATTGTGAGATAAAAAGTCGCAGTTAACTTTTAAATTTTTTATTTTGTGGCAGAAGCAAAAAAAAAAAAACCTGAATTACGGATTCAGAGAAAAATGTCGCAATTTCTTTTTTCTTTTTTTTTTATAGTGGAAACAAAAAACGGAATGGCAAGATGTAAACTCAGAATACAGAGAAAACAAATCAGAATTGCGAGATATAAAGTCGCACTTTTACATTTTTTATTTCATGGTGGAAACAAAAAATAGATATAAACTCGCAATTGTGTGAATAGTGAGATAACAAGTAGGCTTTTTTTGTATGTAAACAAAATGTAAACTCAGAATTCAGACATAATTATGACAAGTTGCAATTACCTTTTGCATTTTTTTATTCTGTGTCGGAAACAGCTTTCCTATGAATCAGGTTCAGACCTGCAGCATTATTTATTTAGTTGCTTAGATGCATTACTTAATAAATAATGATAAATTATGTTCCCATGAGGCCTTATTTGTGTTTGTGTGTTTGTGGTTTGTGCTGTCGTCTGACCTGAGTGGGTTTAGGTGTCTTGGCAAAGCCTGAAACTGCAGCATATGTGTTGCAAAACCCAAACGATGTCATATTACCATTTTGGCAAGCCGTGACTTCACATATGCAGAGAGAGACAGAGATGTTGTTTAGAGCTCCCCTGACGACCGTGTCTCCTCTGTCTCTCTCTCTGTCTGTCTCATGCATTCTTTCACTTGCATTGTGGACTAATGTAAGCAATGCACAGTATTGGATGCAGAACGGTTTGAGGTGTTTAAAATCATTTTTAAAACTGATTTTCAGTCTTCACACTGAATCAATAGCAGGTAAACGTTTCCAGTTTTTAAATCTGTAAGAAAACATCTATAACAGTCAACATTACATTATAATGTAGTCACAATGCATAGGGTGTTTTGGGTGGTTGCTAAGTGTTCTGAGTGTATTTTTTAACATGTTGTTTTCTGTGGTCTTAATAGTGGTTATTTACTGGCCCGTGTCAGACCCTTCATGGTTTCATTAATGTTTTCGCCTACGGTTTTGGGGTTGATGCCAGTAACGGTGGCAAAACTCACTCCTGACCGTAAAGAGGCTGTTATGATCGATTTGAGTCATGAGCATCACTGATGACAGAATATGGGAGGATTACTGTAGTGCCTATTAATTAAAAAACTAGATTTATACATTTCATGAAGTAAGTATGAGTGGTTCTTATAGGCAATATTTGATAGGCAAGATGCTACAGGCAAAGACCATGATTTTAATGCGCTGGACAGTTTTGAGATTTTGGCTTTTCATAATGTGTTCTTTCAGACTAGTGGAAAGAAAACATCCAAAATTCATTTTTAATAGTTTATTTTATTGCATTTTATCTATTTGTGTCTGTATTTTCATTCCAATACACATCTTTAAAGAGTTTTTTCTCCACTTCAGCAGCACTTACAACAAACTTTATAGTTTTATTCATATTTGTATTCTGAAGGTTTTTACTTAGGGCTTTGTTTTTATATCGGTCACACTGATTTTAAACATTTTATTCCTAAACAATTCTCTTTTTTCTGTTTATTGACTATTTTCTGATTTATGATACAAAGAGTAATCCAAAATCCCCTCTGTAAAAACTTTTAACTCTAATATGCTTATTAACTCTAATGCTTGGAGACTTCAACATCCACCTAGATAAACCTCAGGCTGCAGACTTCCACACTCTGCTTGCTTCTTTTGATCTCTACTGAGTGTCAACTACTGCTACTCACAAATCAGGCAACCAACTGGACCTTATTTACACTGGACACTGATCATGTGCTGGTTACTCCACTGCACACCTCGAATCACTTCCTTCTCACTCTTAACCCCAACATGGTTCCTGACACAACACATACCCCTCCACATGTCATCTTTCGACGTAACCTA